GCTAACTTTACGCTTGAAACCCCGTCTCTACTAAAAAAAATACAAAAAATTTGCCTGGGTGTGTGGCAGGCACGTGCTTAGTCCAGCTACCTCGGGAGGCTGAGGCAGGACATGGCATGAACCCTGAACCGAAGGCAGAGCTTGCAGTGAGCCAAGATTGTGGTCCACTGCACTCCAGCCTGGTGAAAAGAGCGAGACTCTGCCTCAAAAAAAAAAAAAAAGAATCAAATAGTTAAGTAAAAGACATGAAAAGTACCTAAATGAGCAAAGTTGAAACAAGTTTCATGAATAACAATATGGAACTTCATAAAAGGTAATTGCATATATAATACACACATTTATCTATGCCCATAATATGTTACCTATTCTACTACATTAAATCATTAATGTGATAAGTTGAGACAAATTATAAGGCACAGAAAAATATTTAAGATACAATATTGAATTGCGTAAAAGCAACAGAAAACTTATTTTGAAAATCAGGAGGTGGTAGGCTAGGTGTGATCCTACACCTACCACCTGTAATCCCAGCACTTTGGGAGGCTGAGTCAGATGGATCACCTTCGAGGTCAGGTTCGAGACCAGCCTGACCAACATGGTGAACCCTGTCTCTACTAAAAATACAAAATAGCTGGTGTGATGGCAATGCCTGTATTCCAGCTACTCGGAGGCTGAGGCAGGAGAATCGCTTGTACACGGGAACAGAGTTGCAGTGAGCTGAGATCGCACCACTACACTCCCAGCCTGGGTGACAGAGTAAGACTCCTGTCTCAAAAAAAAAAAAAAAACAAAAAAAAAACGAATCATGACATGTGCTTAATAAAAAAACATGCACTCACATCACATATACACAGTTTAGTAAATAACAACAGTGAAAGTTAAAACATCCACTCTCTCCTGTAAATTTTCAAAATCTGCAGGCTAAAATGTCACAACAAAACATTCACTGAAGGGCCGGGCATGGTGGCTCATGCCGGTAATCCCAGCATTTTGGGAGACCAAGTGGGCTGATCCCTTCAGGTCAAAAGTTTGGACCAGCCTGGCCAACATGGTGAAACCTTGTCTCTACGAAAAATATAAAAACTAGCTGGGCATGGTGGCATGCAACTGTAGTCCCAGCCACTCTAGAGGCTGAGGCAAAAGACTTGCTTGAGTCCAGGAGGCAGGGGTTGCAGTGAGCCGAGATTGCACCACTCCAGCCTGGGTGACAGAGTGAGATTCTGTCTCAAAACAAACAAACAAACAAACAAAACCCAAAAAACATTCACTGAAAAATTTTCTCTTTTTTTTTTTTTTTTTGAGACGGAGTCTCACTCTGTCGCCCAGGCTGGAGTGCAGTGGCGCGATCTCGGCTCACTGCAAGCTCCGCCTCCTGGGTTCATGCCATTCTCCTGCCTCAGCCTCCTGAGTAGCTGGGACTACAGGCGCCCGCCACCGCGCCCGGCTAATTTTTTGTATTTTTTTTAATAGAGACGGAGTTTCACCGTGGTCTCGACCTCCTGACCTTGTGATCCGCCCGCCTCGGCCTCCCAAAGTGCTGAGATTACAGGCGTGAGCCACCGCGCCCGGCCAAAAATTTTGTTCTTAATGTTATAACAATCTATAAACACATCTCTATAGGACTTGAGCTGTCTCTTGACACAAAACTGACAACACTGTTTCCCCACTGAGACGACAGGGAGGGTAGAAGACTGGACAGGAAAGGTGATGCTTTACGTCTTAGGGCATAAGCTGCAAGTTTGTTTGGAGTTATACTGTAAAACAGATAAATACAACATATAATGTTTAAAATAAGAGAAACAGGGCCGGGTGTGGGGGCTCACGTCTGTAATCCCAGCACTTTGGGAGGCCAAGGTGGGTGAATCAGTTGAGCTCAGGAGTCCGAGACCACCTTGGGTAACATGGTAAAACCCTGTCTCTACAGAAAATACAAAAATTAGCCAGGCATGATGGTGTGTGCCTGTGGTTCAGCTACTTGGGAGTCTGAGGCAGCAGGATTGATTGAGCCCAGGAGGTAGAGGTTGCAGTGAGTCGAGATCATGTCACTGCACTTCAGCCTGGGTGCCACGGTGAGACTCTCTCAAAATAAATAAATACAATAAATAGAGTATTTAATAATTGGTAAAAACAGGCCAGGCGTGGTGGCTCACACCTGTAATCCCAGCACTTTGGGAGGCCAAGGCAGGTGGATCATGAGGTCAGGAGATCGAGACCATCCTGGTTAACACAGTGAAACCCTGTCTCTACCAAAAATACAAAAAATTAGCCAGGCGTGGTGGCGGGCGCCTGTAGTCCCAGCTACTTGGGAGGCTGAGACAGGAGAATGGCGGGAACCTGGGAGGCGGAGCTTGCAGTGAGCTGAGATCACGCCACTGCACTCCAGCCTGGGTGACAGAGCAAGACTCCGTCTCAAAAAAAAAAAATTGGTAAAACAAGAACATGGTTCTATCCTCTCTAATGGGAAAGAAGTTCTGCTCCTATAACTGAACAAAATAATAACCATTCTCACCTAGCACCCGCTACACAATGGTCCCTGCAGAAACACCAGTCTCCATTGTATGGGTTTTCTGAGAATAGTTCAATGATTCTCCTGCATTTTCCATTTAGGTTGATTTCATGTATTAAAATAGATGATGGGATGAAAGAATCTTCTGTCACTGATGTCTGTCAGTCTAAAATTCCCATTCCATTCCCAGTCATTAATAAGAGTTTGGGGTTGGAAATGCAGTGACTCACTTGGTCAGCTTCAAATGTAATATAAATGAACCAGAAAAATTGCCCCTTATTAGCCTTATTTTACAGAATTTAGCAGGTATTTGTGCACATTAGCACGTGACTTCCACATGCAGCTTCTCTACTCCTGGTCCACAGAGAGCTGACAGAGCATCCAGATGTAGCCCCTGAACAGTCCCTGCTGCTCAACAGCACTGACACCACGGGACCCTCACCCCGTCTCCATCCATGTCTGGTGTGAGCCCTTCCCAGGCCCATGCCCAGTGCAGCCTCTTTCCAAGTTCATGTCACTGGGTCACAGGAGATAGAATCCAAGCGAGATGAGAGACTGAGGGAAGGCATGGGTGAGTGCGAGCAAACCTGTCAGGCAGGACGCTTCAGACTCAGAAGATTCCCAACATCAAAGAAATAAGAGACAGAACAACCCACTGATAATATTATTTTACCTGGGTGAGAGCCATGCCCGACTTCTCTTTCCTTCCTCTTCCTCCTCTTCGAGGGTTCCTCCTTAGGTAACAGGAAAGTGCCTTTAGAAGTCAATATTGAATATCCAAAATGTGCTGTTTATTGCTCAGAATCAACACCTCCTCTTCCTAGGGCGCAATCACACACACACAGGGAAGACCTCACCCTGTGGAAAGATGGTCACAGCTGCCCACTGCACCAGGGCGATGCAGGGACAAGAAGCTCCTACGGGAAGACCAGTAAGTGAGTTTCTGACCCCTTTCTTCAGAATCAGCTCTCCTCCTGGAGAAGCCCACACACACGCTGCAGCAATTGGGAGGTGGGCTGGACTGAGCTCCCCCATTCAGGACACACACCCAGCCCTGACCAAACCCATGCAGAGAACAGCCTCCCTCACCTCTCTGGCCTCAGAAACGAAAGGTAGAGGCTGAACGTGGTGGCTCACACTACAATCCTAGCACTTTGGGAGGCTGAGGCAGAAAGATCAATTGAGGCCAGGAGTTTAAGACCATAGTGAGACACCATCTCTCTTAAAAATAAATAAATAAGGCCGGGCGCGGTGGCTCAAGCCTGTAATCCCAGCACTTTGGGAGGCCGAGAGGGGCGGATCACGAGGTCAGGAGATCCAGACCATCCTGGCTAACACGGTGAAACCCCGTCTCCACTAAAAAAAATACAAAAAAACTAGCCGGGCGTGCTGGCAGGCGCCTGTAGTCCCAGCTACTCAGGAGGCTGAGGCAGGAGAATGGCGTGAACCTGGGAGGCGGAGCTTGCAGTGAGCTGAGATCGGTCACTGCACTCCAGCCTGGGCGACAGAGCGAGACTCCGTCTCAAAAAAAAAAAAAGAAATTCAATGTTTAATGTCCTGTCATCTTTCCATTCCTATCAGTAGCATGTGGCACAGTTGAACACTTTCTCTTCTATTTTCTTGGCTTTTAGGACATCCCGTTAAGCTTTACACATCTATTTGTTGTAATTTTCTTTCTTTCTTTTTTTTTTTTTTGAGACCGAGTCTTGCTCTGTCGACCAGGCTGGAGTGTAGTGGGGCGATCTCGGCTCACTGCAAGCTCCGCCTCCCGGGTTCATGCCATTCTCCTGCCTCAGCCTCCCGAGTAGCTGGCATTACAGGCGCCCGCCACCTCGCCTGGATAATTTTTTGCATTTTTAGTAGAGACGGGGTTTCACCGTGTTAGCCAGGATGGTCTCGATCTCGTGACTTCATGATCCGCCCGCCTCGGCCTCCCAAAGTGCTGGGATTACAGGCTTGAGCCACGGCGCCCGGCTATTTGCTTTAATTTTCTTGTTGCCTCCCTGATCACATTGTGCTTTCCTCTTCTTGTGTGTCCAGAACTTTCTGTTCTCCGAATATAGGCTTAGTCCTTCAGCCACTTTTTTTCTCTGTCCACACTCATTGCCTTTCCTTATCAACTCAGCTCATGGCTTTGAACCCCACCTGCACAGTTTCGTGTCACCTGCGGGACTCTCCCGTGAACTCTGGATCCTGTGTCTAGGCCTCCCAAAATGCCGAGATTATAAATGGAGCCGTCAGTGGTAAATGAAAAAGAAAGTCAGTGGTAAATGAAAAATAATGTTGGGTATGCGAGCTTGATTTAAGCAACAGTTCAAGCAAGAACTGAAGGCAAGAATTAAACACAAATTTAAAAAAATTGTAGCGTATTGTGCACTTAAACGGAGCATAGAAGAGGGGTACTTACTACAGAGTGAAATGTAGTTTAGAGTTTTTTATTTTTATCTTTTGAGATGAAGCCTCATTCTTGTCACCCAGGCTGGAGTGCAATGGCACGATCTCAGCTCACTGTAACTTCCGCCTCCCAGGTTCAAGCGATTCTCCTGCCTCAGTCTCCCGAGTAGCTGGGATCACAGGCACGTGCCACTGTGCCTGGCTAATTTTTGTATTTTTAGTAGAGATGGTGTTTCACCATGTTGGGCAGGCTGGTCTCGAACTCCTGACCTCAAGTGATCCACCTGCCTCGGCCTCTCAAAGTGCTGGGATTACAGGCACGAGCCACCATGCCTGGCCAATTTAGAGCATTTTTTGTTTTAAAGATGGCGCATAGAAGAAAAAAAGACTTTATTCTGTGTGCGTCTTTTTTTTTTTTTTTTTTTGAGACAGGGTCTCACTCTGTTGCCCAGGCTAGAGCGTGATGGCATGAACATGGCTTACTGTAGCCTCAAGCTCTTGTGCTCAAGCGATTCTCTCAACTCAGCCTTGCAAGTAGCTGGGACCACAGGTGCAAGCCATGTCCAGTTTATTTTTTTCTATTTTTCATAGAGACGGAGTCTTGCTATGTTGCCCAGGCTGGTCTTGAACTCCCAGACTCAAGCAATCCTCCCACCTTGGCCTCTGAAAGTGCTGGGATTACAGGTGTGAGCTACTGTGCCCAGCCCTGTGTACGTGTCTTAATGGAGAACACCACCCCCTGGGTACAGGGATGAATTCCCTTGAGGTTAAAATTTTGAAAGCTTTACGGATTGAGAAGAAAAAAAACAAAGTTAAAATTGATGGCATGCATATTGTCCTGAGACTGTGAGTGAGGCTGGCATGTGGTGCACAATTGCAGGGTCAGCAGTAGCCAGAAGTAGGAACAGGCCATTCCCAGTCACTACTGAGTGGAGATCACAGGTCCTGACAGGTGGGTGGGCCACTTGGAGGTCTTTTCCTTTAGTCTCTGAGATAGGAAAATACCCAACTCTACATTCTACTCTCACATTAAACACAGAATACTTCACCTGTAGTCACCAAAATGTGTATGTGGCTTTTCCCACAATGACCAGAGGACTCCCAGGGGATTCCCAGCTCGGGGCGTGAGGCGGGGATCCTACAATTTCACTCAACTCTGACATTATCTATAAGAAGACAGCATAGGCCGGGTGCGGTGGCTCACACCTGTAGTCCCAGCACTTTGGGAGGCCAAGGCAGGTGGATCACTTGAGGCCAGGAGTTCGAGACCAGCGTGGCCAACATGGCAAAACCTCGTCTCTACTAAAATACAAAAATTAGCTGGGTGTGGTGGCGCACACCTGTAATCCCAGCTACTTGGGAGGCTGAGGCAGGCAGGAGAATCGCGTGAACTCAGGAGGCAGAGGCTGCATTGAGTCAAGATTGCGCCATTGCACTCCTGTCTGGGCAACAGAGTGAGACTCTGCTTCAGAAAGGAAAAAAAAAAAAGACTGCATGACGAGGTGCTACAGGTTCAGAGTTCAGTCTAAAACTGTCCCTCACTTCAGACACAGTATGCAAGTGGTAACTGTCACTTATACTTTTGAGTGACGTGATAAATACTGTAGTTCTCTTAACCCCTCCTCTGCTTTAATTAACTTTCTAGTACAGCTCTTCCTTCTGACTGTTCATCTGTATCCTCTGTAATATCCTTTACAACAAATGTGTAAACTAAGTGAAATGTTCCCCTGAGTTCTTTGAGCTGCCCTTATAAATTAACAGAACCTGAGGTGGTGGGGAGGGGGATGTCAAGGGAATCCCCAATGTATAGCTGGTCACTCAGAAGTTCAGGTACCAGCGTGAGACTTGCAACTGGCACCTGATTCGGGGGCAATTTCGTGGAACTGAGCCTCAATCAGTGGGATCTGATGCTAACTCCAGGTACAGAGTTTCAGGTACAGAAACCTGTCTCCAGGTACAGAGTTGAACTATAGGACACTCAGTGTCTGATAAAGATTGGTTGTTGGTGGGAGAAATCCGCACACATTTTCCTCAGTGGAGGTGAGACATTGTGTAGAATGTGCACTGTTGTATTGACAGGAAGGAAAACCAAAGGAAAAATACTTTTTCCTCTTAGTTCATACACTCGTCCACACCTTACCTTATTCCAGGAAAAGGGAAGTGAGTGGACTCAAAACTAAATGAGCGAAATCACTGCGCTCTGGTTTGAATAGTGATTGCAAATGAAGCTATGCACTAATACTAATAATTGTCAAATGCGTGTCTTACACATTTTACGTAAAGGAGTTTCTTCAATTCTCATTTACAGCTGCATAATTTGAGTAAACATATTTTAAATGTGTTGCATTACTATATACCCAGAAACCAATGTCACAATGTAACCATCACATTTAATCAACGCACCACTCACCTGGCCCCAGCTCTCTTGCTTCCATACTGTTTCCCTCCCTCATTCTCTACATAGGTCTCACTCTCACATTAGCTTATTTTTTATTTTCTGTGTTTTTCCCCTGGTTCTTTGCGTGTCGTTTTGAGCCCCTCTCATCTCCTGCTGTTTCCCCCCTTCTTCCTCCTCTTGCACCTGTTCTGTCCCATTCTGGGGCCTTATTTCAACTCTGATTCCTATTTCTTCCCAATCTTTTCATTGTCCCCAGTCTCCATATATTTCTGCCTCTCTCTTCTCCCGTCTCTGCTCTCTCTGTTAAATCTCCTCTTCCCTGCTACACCTCTGCCCCACTCTCTGGCACCCCCAGATCCCAGGCCTCCCCCTACTGTGGTTCTCCCTCTGCTCTCCTAGTCACTGGCGGGCCCCTCTTGCTGTCCCAGCACCACGCTGCTCTGTCTGCCCTGGCTCCAGTTTCCTCCTCCTCTCCCGGACTCTCTTGTCTGAGGAGCCTCCCACTTTCTGCCCCTCTCCCTACCTTGCTGTCCTTCATCTCTCTGGACATCGAGCTTTTCTCTACATTTCTCCAGTTGCTATTCTCCTGCCTTCTCAGCTCCTTCTTTCACTCTTACTATCTCTGCAAATCCCTCATCCATCCTCTACTTTGCCATTTGTTTACGGGTTCCCCTCATTCTTTCCTCTCAGTTTTTCTACTTCTCTCTCTGTCTTTGTCCCTCTCTCTATCTCCTAATCCCCTTGGCCCACACATTCACAGGAGGGTTTGGAGTAAGAGGCCTGCATCTTGGAGGAGCACATTTTCCAGGGGCTGGAGCTGGGCAGGCAAGAACACCGGGTGTCACAGGACAGGCCCCGGGCACCTCCCCAACGCAGGCTCAGGGGAAGCGGTGACTGCGAAGGCGAGGACTGGGGAGCAGCAGGGCCCGGCACGAGGAGGAGGGAGGTGGGCGCGACGGTGCCTTAGGGAGAGGAGTGGCGTCTACAGGATCCCAGGACAAGGCAGAGGACGCGGCCTTCCCCGGACTGGGGCTGCGGCGCTGCGCTCCACGGTCCGACGAGGGCAAGGCTGGGAGGTGCCCACGGCGAGAATCCACCTCGTGGGTGAGGACTTTAAAAAACCCGGGGCGGGAGGAGGCGTCAGGAAAGGGTTTTAAGCGGGAGGAAGACGCGAAAGGCCGGGGACAGGGAGCAGCCTCAGAGCGACTTCAACCCAAAGGGAAGCGACTCCGAACCCACACCTGGGATGGAGGGGCGTGGTGCGGGGATCTTAAGGTCTGTAGCGAGCCCGGGAACTGGCTGCGGAAACAGGGCAGGGCGATTCGCAAGTTTAATCCATACTGAGGGACACTCACGCTAGTCGGCGTCACCTCCACCCAGCGCGAACCGCTTCCGGAACTGCAGAAAACTGCGCGTGCGCGGAAAAGAGCCCGGGCACTCTGGGGGCGGGGCCTGGGCGAGAGGCGGGGTCTGCGGACGAAACGCTGGGGCGGCGCCGGGGCGGGGTGTGCGCTTACCTCAGCCTCCCTGGCCCGTAGTCTGATTTTTCCCGGTTTGGAAATGCTGGAGTGCTCACCATGTCCCGGGGAGCAGCGTTCCAATTTGAAGCAGTTTTAAGGTGAAAGAATACACTTATGTGAACCCCTTATGATAGAAACCAAAATGATTTTCTCTTACCAAGTTGAAAACGGTTTATGTTAAAATTGTTTGCCGGCGGGTTGGACCCAATTCTGCTAGGGAGTCTCCTGCAGCTCAGAAACGGGGATCTGGGATTCGGGGATCTCGGCCTGGGAGCTAGGATCTTCGTGGAGGATTCACGAGGCACAGCGATTGGATCCAGGAATTCCTGCAATTAAAATGTATTTAATTTAACTGAAATGTCCTGAAATTATCTCTGAGGATGATGCAAAGTAGAATGGGAAATGCAGCGCCCTACCTGGATGTATGTTGCAATTTAATGCAGCAGCCCATCAGAACCTCCTTTGCATTTCAAATCCCCATTCTCTCCAGTGGAAGAGTCAAGCCTGTGCTCAATTCATGGGAAGGTTAAGGCCCTCGATAAGTTAGATCACCAAGGGCTGCTTCATTGTTCTTTAAAATATATATTTTTATAAAGATGGGGGTCTCAGCCCAGGCTGTTCTCCAACTCTTGGCCTCAAGCAATTCTCCTGCCTGGGCCTCCAAAAGTGCTGGGATTACAGGAGTGAACCACTGTGCCCAGTCAACTGCTCATTTAAACCATGCAAATTTTTTAAAAAATAGAGATAAACTGCATTATTTTTGCTTATATTCGTTATTACGTTCCACGCTTAAAATTAACCACAAACAACTTTGACATAATCTTTCTTTGCATCAAAATATGCTTAAGTCAATAATTTCTAAGTATCATGTAATTTCAAAGTCACTTTATGGGCGTTCTGAAGGTAACTAGACACAGTACTTTTTATTTTAAAATTGTAATCTATATTGGGTCTATTTTTTGTTTTCTGTTTCTTAATGTTCTATTAGATGTGGATAACAGAGTGTGGAAAATAGTCACCACATGACAATTGGGTTTATTTTCATCTAAAGAATAATTTTCCAGTATTTCTAACGTATTATGCCGGTAGAACTAAAGACTCACAGGGACACCCTTTTTTCATGTTTATAGAAAACCTAGTTTATACCTGCTATTGTCTTATGTACATTTTCATGTCACACAATTTTATCTCCAAACAACACCCTTATTTATATACAGTCTATAGTTTTCACTTTAGTAACACAGACAACAAAATATTAAACCTTTCATCTGGGTTACAATGTATGAAAGAAAAAAAATAAAAGGGAAAATCAGATTAAAAAATAAAAAGTAATTTTACTACAATTGAACATAAACCATTAAATATATTGTTCAACACCATAAACTGAAAATAACATTTCCATAGCCTTTGGAGAAATGCCGTTCCAGTAAAACTGCCTAATCATATTTACTATGTAATAAACTTTTCCACAATTTTTCACTGAGTTAGTATAAAAATATCTTAGGCATTATAACTAAACAGGATTTCAAAAATATTTTCAACAGTTGTGTTATTTTTAATGAGTCCTATGGGTACAGCGGAAAAATAAATGTAGACTATTACTATGAAGAAAACTAGGGCGGGGCACAGTGGCTCACGCCTGTAATCCCAGCACTTTGGGAGGCAGAGGCAGGTGGATCACTTGAAGTCAGGCGTTCAAGACCAGCCTGGCCAACATGGTGAAACCCTGTCTCTACTAAAAATACAAAAATTAGCCAGGTGTGGTGGCACACACCTGTAGTCCCAACTACTTGGGAGGCTGAGGCAGGAGAATCACTTGAACCTGGGAGGTGGAGGTTGTAGTAAGCCGAGATCACGCGACTGCATTCCAGCCTGGGTGACAGAGCAAGCCTCCGTCTCAAAAAACAAAACAAACCAAACCAAACAAACAAAAAAGAAAACTGGGGTCTTCTCAAACCAAGAATTCAGGAGTTTCCACAGTAAGTAATTCAGTGTACTAGAGTCAGTCTCCATTTTGTGATGTTGTACTACTAACACTTTTACAGCTCTGCACTTCCTCTTCTTGTTCTGCCCATTTGGTCAAACTGATCATGCTTGAGTGCTTCCTCCTTTGTCACTAGATGGACGTTCAAACCACACAAAGCTTCCTCTAACCCAGCCCCACACCTTATCAACTATAACACACCAAGCAAATTGCTTATCTGGGCTCTCAAGCCATTTTTGGACCAGCTTTGGAAGTCTACCCAGCTTTCCCCAGAAACCCACATTATGTAATAAACAGTCTCATAACACTTCTCAACAAACTTTAGGTGAAATTCAATACAGTTCCAGTAGAGAGATCACAAGTTCAAATTATCAAAATGTTATGAGGGTGAACATTCAAACTTTGTAGTTTATCTACCAGGAAAAAAAAAATCTGAATGTGTTATGTTCATTCTTAAAATATATATATATATTAATTTCTCCAATTGCCACTGATCATTCCAAGGGTAAAAAAGAGATGTTGTTGTTTTTATCCATATTCCCCATACTTTTTGTTTCCTAATGTCATATTTTTCCTATACTTGTATTTTCACTTCATGTACATCAAGATAAATGCCATAGGTGTTATTTGGCATGCAAGAAAGAGACATGCAAAAATATAATAATATAGTGCATACACATCAAGAGCAATGCAGACTGCAGGGCGTGAGAGTCTGAAATATCCTTTCTATGGGATTTTCATTACACCACATAAGTATCCCAAGGCAGAGTGTGGAGAGAGTAATTCAAGTGCAAAATACAATTAGTTTCTGGGCTGGGCGTGGTGGCTCACGCCCATAATCCCAGAGCTTTGGGGGGCCAAGGCGGGTGGATCACTTGAGGTCAGGAGTTCGAGACCAGCCTGGCCAACATGGTGAAACCCTGTCTCTACTAAAAATACAAAAACTAGCCGGGTGTGGTAGTGGGCACCTATAATCCCAGCTACTTGGGAGGCTGAAGCAGGAGAATCGCCTGAACCCAGGAAACAGAGGTTGCAGTGAGCCGAGATCACGCTGTTGCACTCCAGCCTGGGTGACAGAATGAAACTCCATCTCAAACAAACAAAAAACCAAAATACACTTAGTTTCTGAAAATTATATGTTGTTTGATCCAACAATGGAAATCATTATTCTAGATCCTTCGATAGCTTAATGGTGCACTGTTATTATCTGTGATGAAGTATGCTACTGAGGTAGGATAAAACTACGTTGGCAAGAAATGATTCATTCATACTTACAAAATACATCAAATTTTATTAGTTAAAACATTAAATCTATGATGCATTCTTAATTAAATAGTAGCAAAATGTGATTCCAGCAGTTAATGTAAATCCTAGTAACAAACATGGGATTCTGGTTACTTTGATTAAACTTCCTATGCTCGGCCGGCCGGGCACGGTGGCTCACGCCTGCAATCCCAGCACTGTGACAGGCTGAGGCGGGCAGATCATGAGGTCAGGAGTTCGAGACCAGTCTGGCCAACACAGCAAAACCCCATCTCTACTAAAAATACAAAAATTATCCAGGCGTGGTGGTACATGCCCGTAATCCCAGCTACTTGGGAGGCTGAGGGAGGAGAATCACTAAAATCCAGGAGACTGAGGTTGCAGTGAGCTGAGATTGCGTCACTGCACTCCAGTCTGGGTGACAGAACAAGACTCTGTCTCAAAAAAACAAAAATCAATCTTTGCTATGCAACAGCTATTGGCATTTGATGGAGAAGGTAGCCTTTTCTGCATTATTTGTACCACACATCAGTCCCTAATAAGCTATTACTCTTCTCTAATAAAAATCCGAGTGTCTTCCTGGCTCTATTTCATGGTCTGTTGGTAGAGAATTTCTTTTTCTTTTTTATTTTTTTGAGTCAGAGTTTCGCTCTTGTTGCCCGCACTGGAGTGCAGTGGCGTGATCTCGGCTCACTGCAACCTCTGCCTCCGGGATTCAAGCAAGTCTCCTGCCTCAGCCTCCTGAGTAGCTGGGATTACGGGCATGCACCACTGTGCCTAATTTTGTATTTTCAGTAGAGACGGGATTTCTCCATGTTGGTCAGGCTGGTCTCGAACTCCTAACCTCAGGTGATCTACCCACCTCGGCCTCCCAAAGTGCTGGGATTACAGGCGTGAGTCACCGTGCCGGCCAGTAGAGAATTTCTTTCCATACCCACAGTGCCCTTCTGTCAGAAGAAGGGCACCTGGAGTGCAATAAGGATGATGAGTGACATCATAGTTCATTATCCTCTGTCCTTTCCAAGTGCTCTCTAATTCAGACTATATTTAATTTTAAAAGGCAGCGTCGTTCTTCTTCAGGAGCTTGAAGAGAAATAATCCTCACCCAGTGAAGTGAGTGAGCCCTTCCATCCTTTGATTCTTTCCCAAACAACACCATGTAAGGTGTATAATCGTGTATAAAATCAGCAGATTATATATCAGAGGGTTATGAGGAAACTAGAGACTGAGTTATATTATTCCTATGAATCCTCAGCTATAGGTGTAGTCCAGAAGTAATAGTCTCGGCATGCATGTTACATTTGTGTAATTTCATCAAAGATATATCTTTTGATGCCTATTGAGCTCTGAAACCTGGATAAAGCTTCTGTCATACATAGTATATTCACAGGATTTCTCTGTTATGAACTCTGATGTCTGTTAATGCTTAAACTCATCAGAAGTTTGCCACAGTCACTGCATTTGTAAGAATTGTCTCAAGAATGAATTCCCGATGTTGTGAAATAAGTAATTTGTGGCTGAAGAACTTGCCACACTCCTTTGTAAGGTTACTTTTTCTGTGTGTGTGTGTGTGTGTGTGATGGAGTTTCACTCTTGTTGCCCAAGCTGGAGTGCAATGACATGATCTCGCTCACTGTAACCTCCACCTCCCAGGTTCAAGCAATTCTCCTGCCTCATCCTCCCGAGTAGCTGGGATTACAGGCATGCACCACCATGCCCAGCTAATTTTTGTGTTTTTAGTAAAGACAGAATTTCACCATGTTGGCCAGCCTGGTCTTGAACTCGCGACCTCAGGTGATCTGCCCTCCTCGGCTTCTCAAACTGCTGGGATTACAGGCATGAGCCACCACACCTGGCATCCTTTGTAAGGTTTCTATCCACTATGAATTCTTCGATGTTTTGCAAGGTTTGAATTTTGAGTGAAGACTTTGCCACATTCGTTACATTTGTAAGGTTTGTCTCCAGTATGGATTGCCATATGGGTAGTTAGGGTTGAGCGAACACTAAAGGCTTTCCCACACTCATTACACCTGTAAGGTTTTTCTCCAGTGTGAATTCTTCTATGATTTGCAAGATGTGAATTTTGAGTGAAGACCTTGCCACATTCGTTACATTTGTAAGGTTTTTCTCCAGTGTGGATGACCTGATGGGTAGTTAGGTTTGAATGTACACTAAATGCTTTGCCACACTCATTACACTTGTAAGGTTTCTCACCAGTGTGAATTCTCTGATGAACTGCAAGGTATGAACTGTGCCTGAAGACCTTGCCGCAATCATTACATTTGTACGGTTTTTGTCCAGTATGTATTGTCTGATGGATAGTTAGGCTTGAATGAACACTAAAGGCTTTGCCACACTCATTACACTTGTAAGGTTTTTCTCCAGTATGAACTCTCCAGTGCCTTGCAAGTTGTGATGTTTGACTGAAGGCTTTACCACATTCACCACACTTGTAAGGTTTTGCTCCAGAATGAATTCCCTGATGACTTGCAAGGTGTGAATTTTGTGTGAAGACCTTACCACAGTCATTACATTTGTAAGGCTTTTCTCCAGTATGAATTGCCTGATGGGTAGTTAGGCTTGATCGCACACTAAAGGCTTTGCCGCACTCATCACACCTGTAAGGTTTCTCTCCAGTATGAATTCTTTGATGATTTGCTAAGTGTGAATACTGAGTGAAAACCTTGACGCATTCATTACATTTGAAAGGTTTTTCTCCGGTATGGATGATCTGATGCTTAGTTAAGTTTGAATGCATACTGAAGGCTTTCCCACACTTACTGCACTTGTAAGGTTTCTCACCAGTATGAATTCGCCGATGCTTTGCAAGGTATGAATTGTGCCTGAAGACCTTGCCACACTCATTACATTTGTAAGGTTTTTCTCCAGTGTGGATTGTCTGATGGGTAGTTAGGCTTGAGCGAACACTAAAGGCTTTGCCACACTCATTACACTTGTAAGGTTTTCCCCAGTATGAATTCTTCGATGACTTGCAAGGTGTGAATTTTGAGTGAAGCACTTGCCACATTCCTTACATTTGTAAGGTTTTTCTCCAGTATGGATAACCTGATGTGTAGTTAGTTTTGAATGTGCTCTAAAGGCTTTGCCACACTCATTACACTTGTAAGGTTTCTCTCCAGTATGAATTCTCTGATGACCTGCAAGGTTTGAAGGTTGGCTGAAGACCTTTCCACATTCATGACATTTGTAAGGTTTTTCTCCAGTATGGATTACCTGATGGATAGTTAGGTTTGAACGAACAGTAAAGGCTTTGCCACACTCATTACACTGGTAAGGCTTCTCTCCAGTATGAATTCTCTTATGACTTGTTAGCCGTGAGTTTTGATTGAAGACCTTGCCACATTCATCACATTTATAATGTTTTCCCCGATTATTAAGAGACTTCTCAACTTGATTGTATTCATAAATTTTCCCTTCACCTTGAAATTGCTGCAGTTCAGGCAGATGTGACTGAAAACTTACTCCAAACTGATTTTCAATAAGCTTGTTTCCTGCAGCCCTTCTATCATGTTGATCTCTTCTACCAGGGAGATTTTCTTTTTGCAACATAAGTACTCTTTTGTAATTTCCTTCATCATCTTTCCACTGCCACTCAAAGTCATATGTATTTTTCTGAACTTCCTCGAAGGACAGGGCTTCATCACAGCTTTCAAGTCTCTCCAGCTTCACCATGTGGAATGCTTCTCCCATACTCTTCTTCCCCTTTGGTGGCAGATCCTTGTTTACACATTTACAAGAGATATCTGTAAGATATAAAGAACCACAGGTTTCCAATTAATTATAGTACATAAATAATTATTTCCCATTGAAAAACCTAATGTTACACCAAAAGTAATAGTTATGTTGAACAGACTTATGATTCTTCAGAACCATAATTTTTCAGAACACAAAAGGAATAGGATTCCTTATCAAAGAAAAGGTGGTAACATGTAATTCAAATAGTAGGGGATCCTAGTTTTAAACAATCTGTGAACAAAACCTTCATATTGTGCAAACCCATATTGGCCCTGAAAGGAGTACTTTCCAACCATGACCCAAGGCTACCAATTGGCAATATGTTTTATATGGCTGTCTTAGAATTCAAGAGAAAGAATTCTTATATTGTGCCTATTTAGAGCATATTTGTTATGCACAAGTAAATGCTAAAGCACAACGTGATATACTGTAATGGTAAATAACTCACAGCAAACATACGTAATGAATAATTAAAGAAGTAGTAATTTTGAATTGGAAAAAAATAATAGCACTGAAAAAATGAGGAGGAATTCAATTTTAAAATGTCAGAAAAAACTTTTGAATTGGAGAGAAAGAAAGAAAAGAAAGAAAGAAAGAAAGAAAGAAAGAAAGAAAGAAAGAAAGAAAGAAAGAAAGAAGAAAGAAAGAAAGGAAGGAAGGAAGAGAAAGAAAAGAGGAGTTCTACTTCAGAACCAGCACAGGACATAAGAACTGGAATATAGTCTAGCTGTGTCACCCAGGCTGGAGTGCAGTGGCGTGATTTCGGCTCACTGCAACCTCCGCCTCCTGGGTTCAAACAATTCTCTGCCTCAGCCTCCTGAGTAGCTGGGATTACAGGTGCCTGCCACCACGCCCAGCTGATTTTTGTATTTTTAGTAGAGACAGCGTTTCACCATCTTGGCCAGGCTGGTCTTGAGCTCCTGACCTCGTGATCCACCCGCCTTGGCCTCCCAAAGTGCTGAGATAACAGGCATGAGCCACTGCACCCAGCCTGTTTATATTATTCTTGACTGCAAATGGTGTCACATGCAGTAAGTGTGTGTATAAGTTTTGATAAGTTTTAATTTTTTATCATAGATTTGTGTTTTTTTGAAGCGAAGTCTCGTTCTGATGCCCAGGCTAAAGTGCAGTGGTGCAATCTTGGCTCACTGCAACTTCTGCTTCCCAGGTTCAGGTGATTCTCCGGCCTCAGCCTCCCAACCAGCTGGGATTACAGGCATGTGCCACCACGGCCAGCTACTTTTTGTATGTTTAGTAGAGACAGGGTTTCATCATGTTGGCCAGCTGGTCTTGAAATCCTGACCTCAAGTGATCCACCCACCTTGGCCTCCCAAAGTGCTGGGATTACAGGCATGAGCCACCGCATCCAGCCAGATTTGTGTGTTTTTGTTTGGTTTGTTTTTGTTTTTGTTTTTGTTTTTTGCAACGAAAGAATAGCACAGATTTATTGAAATGGAAGTACACTCCACAGAGTGGGAGCGGGCTCTAGCAAGCAGCTCAAGAGCCAGATTTGTGTATCTTTTTATGGTGGTAAATAATAGAGTAGTACTTTATGCATTCATCACATACCTAATTTTTTCTTAATTTTTATGATATTTTTAGATTATGCAATTTGTCTGCTTTATCAAATTGTTGCAAATGTCTTTAAAAATTTCCAATATATTTACTGGAATAAAACCCATGTATAAGATGACCCATGGAATTCAAACCTGTGCTGTTCAAGGGCCAACTGTATACCCAGAAGTGGGATTGCTGGATAACATAGTACTTTTATTTTTATTTTTTTGAGAAATTTCCACATAATTTTTCATAATGCCTAGACTAATTTACATTCAATCAATAGTGTATGAGAACTCCCTAGTCTCCATATCTTTGCTAACCCATACCTTTTGTCCTTCTGCCAGTAGCTATTCTAACAGCTATATGATATTTTATTCTGCTTTAAATTATCTCTGCAAGTAGTGATGTTGTTGGCTGTTTGTCTGTCTTCCTTCAAGAACTGTATATTGAGGCTCACGCCTGTAATCTCAGCACTTTGTGAGGCCAAGTTGGGCAGATCACCTGAGACCAGGGATTTGAGACCAGCCTGGCCAACATGGTGACCAAAAATGCAAAAATTAGCCAGGCGTGGTGGCGCGCACCTGTAGTCCCAGCTACTTGGGAGACTAAGGCAGGAGAATCGCTTGAACCTGGGAAGCAGAGATTGCAGTGCTCTGAGATCGCACCACTGCACTCCAGCCTGGGTGACAGAGCGAGACTCTGTCTCAAAAAAAAAAAGGGGAAAAAAATGTATATTGAGATCCTTTCGCCATTTTTTAATTGGTTTGTTTTCATGCTATTGAGTAGTTTCGATTTCTCATACATTTTGGACATTAAATTGGTGTCAAATATACAAATTGCAAATGCTTTCTCACAATCCGTAGGTTGTCTCCTCATTATGTTAATTGTTCCTTTGCGGTGATTTTCAGTAGATGCTACCCCATTTATCTGTTTGCTTTTGTTGCACAAGCTTCTGGTGTGAAGGCCAAAAAATCGTTGCCTGGATCACGTCATGTAGGTTTTCCCGTACGATTGCTTCTGGTAGTTTTACATTATCAGGTCTTACGTTTAAGTATTTAATACATTTTGAATCAATTTTGGTATCTGGTGTGAGATTAACATCCATTTCATTCTCCTGTGTGTGGATATTGAGTTTGTCTAGCAACACTTATTGAAAAAACTGTCCTTTTTTCATTGTGTTCTTGGCACCTCTGTCAAAAGCCAACTGGCCGTATATTCATCATTTTTTTTTCACTTTTTTTTTTTTTGATATGGAGTCTCACTCTGTCGCCCAGGCTGGAGTGCAGTGGCACAATCTCAGCTCACTGCAACCTCTGCCTCCTGGGTTCAAGTGATTCTTCTGCCTCAGCCTCCCAAGTAGCTGACCACCATGCCTGGCTAATTTTTGTATTTTTAGTAGAGACAGGGTTTCACCATATTGGACAGGCTGGTCACGAACTCCTGACCTCATGATCCACCCACCTCAGCCTCCCAATTACAGGGGTGAGCCACCGCATCTGGCTTTCTTTTTACTCTTTCTATTCTGTTCCACTGGTTGATGTGTCTATTTTTAAGGAATTACTATCCTGTTTTAATTACTATATCTTCGTAATATAGTTTGAAATAAGGTAGTGTGATGTCTCCAGGTTTGTTCTTTTTGTTCAATGAATCCCATGCTCAAGTGTAAAAAAATAGGATACACACCCCATATAGGACTGGGATCAAAAAGAGAAAGTTTCTGTCCATTGTACTTAACAATTTGGCTAATCATCTCGGAAGATCAACCCACTCCCCTTGTCACCCACATCCACAAACTGTCGCAAAGTGGAATAGGAGAAGTAGCTGAGACCTCAACAGGCAAAGAAAGCTTAAGACAGCTCCGTGAAGTTTCTGGGGCCCCAGGTGCAAAGGAGGAGCAGCCAACGTTTTCTATCTTCCAAGCTCATGAAATGGGATAAAATATGAATAGGGGCACTTGTCATAACTATGGAGGCCTCACGTCTGATCTCTGTGGACAGAAAAATAAGGATTTTTGATTGAATCAAGCACAGAAGGGGAGACTAAGGAGGAAAGCAGCCCTTTTGAAAGGAACCAAGAGTTCATAGAAACCAAGTAACAGACGGTTGTAGGTCATGATCAAGACATTGCATGTGTTGCTGTTTGGGCTGTAGCACCACTGCAGGTTGGAAGGAGAAACTTTTACACATCTAAAGAACAGAGTATTAAGTGGTAGGGAAAAAAATTCTTATCGGTGAGCGCCAACCGCATCCTGGGCTTTCTTTTTAGCTCTTTCTATTGTTCCAGCTGCGCGTTGATGTGTCTAATTTTTAAGGAATTACTACATCCTTGTTTTTAATTACTATATCTTCATATTCAGTAGTTTGAAATAAGGTAGGTGTGATGCCTCCCCAGAGTTGCTTCTTATTGTCAATGCTGAAATCCAATCGCTCAAGTGTAAAAAAATAGGATAGCACACCCCATAATACGGAATCATGGGATAAAAGAGAAACGTTTCTGTCCATTTTAGCTTAACAATTTGGGCTAATCACCTCCTCGAAGTCAATCCCCACTCCCAACTTTTTTTTTTCTTGGCGACCACAACTTGTCACCGCAAATCACAAATCCACAACCTGCTCGCCCAAGGCTGCGAATAGGAAAAAAGCACGTAGGCGAGAACCCCCTCAACAGGCTCAAGAAACGCTTAAAGATACAGCTCCCCGTGAAAGTT